AAATGAAAAAGAGAAAATGACAAGTCATCTCCCCAACAATATGATTTCCTCACTTTCTTCCTACTCCATTTTCTCTTTTTGTTTTTTTAAGTTTCATCTCAATTACTACCTCTCCAAGACATACACTCAGCATCAAAAAAATTGACAGTTAACAACAATAAGCAAGGTGTGGACAAAAGACCTGAATCGCCTCAAACGTCGTAGACAGGGAGTTAAACGGGTTGTCGATGGCATAGTAAACAGCTCCCAGAATGGTATCAATGCAGCATTCAATAATGAAGCCATCTAATTGCTGAATCGAAAAGCACCAAACCCCCAAATTACAGATAGCCTGAAATCCAAACAAAACCAGTCAGCCATAAATTAAAAATTGGCCTACATCACACAATATCGGTAACAACCAACCTTCATTTTCGTGGTCACAATTAGCCTCGCAAGGGAATCCAGAGCAGATCGAGATGCATCTTCTGGTTGGACCGCCAGTAACAAAATGGATAAAAGTCTTCAAATAGGTTTTTAAACATGAAACCACTGAAAAAAAGTTCGTTGTAAACCTGGAATGGAGGACACTAGTGATGGGTGGTACATCATGAAACCTAAGCATTTCAGAGCTTGAGCAGCACTGGAAAACGAAGGAAAACCTATAAATTATAGGGAAATGTGTATAGCAACTTCGATCGATATATTACATTTCAATTATCTTAGGCGCCTTACATCTCCTCTTCTTGGTGGAAAATGTCAGAGAGAATGGCGGGCAAGAGAGGAGGGGAACAGAGTGTGAGGGTTTCCATGGACAAGGTATCCTCGGCAGAGTTCCGCTGAAGCTGCAGAAAGGATGAGTAGGCGAGAGACTTGTCTGCAGATATTAGGGTTTTGATTTCTTCGATCTCTTGCTTGACGGCTTCGGCCATGGAACACGAAGAGCCAGCCAACCATTAGCGCCTAGCTTGAAGAATGAAGTAGTTTTACTCTTAGTACTGTGTTCGGTAAGTTATAATCTCCTTTTTCGCGCCAAAGAGGAAGAGGATAAATGGCCATGTACGTGTTTAAGCCAAATGAAAATATTTTTTATTGTTGCATGTTAAAAGATTTGATCTGATAGTATGATAATTTAATTTCTTGATATTAAAAAAAATCTAACACACACAAATATTAGAGAAGTAACTGAGTAAACACATAACTTTTAGGTGATAAAACCTATAAAAGGGAAAAAAAAACTATAGTTTAACTCAATCAAAATAGTACACTATGTAATTTTAAACATACATGTATATTAAATTAGAAAAGATAGAATTACAAAACTGATAATCATGGATGTATAATAATATTTTATATATAATAATTATAATTGGGCTACAATAATGTGGTTTTTGGTTATAATGGCAATAATCAGCCACAAAAGCCATAACTAATTGCTATGAATACAATAAGTGGTCATATAGGATGTAATCGGTGGTTGCAATAGTGGTACTTAGTCACAAATGTCGTAGTTGGAGGCTTTAATAAAAATAGTTTGTCGCAAAAACCGTAGTTGGTTGCTACAAAGGCAGCAGTTGAATATAAAAATTGTAATCGATAATAACAGCAGTTGGTCACACTATTCATAGTTAGAAATTATAAAAGTAATAGTTGGCTACAATGGTCATGGTTGGTTGCTACAAAAATAGTTATCAGTCATAAAGGTTGTAGATTGTGGCAACAATAGCAGCAGTTAACCAAAGAAGCTATAGTTGGAAACTGTGATAGTAGTAGTTCGCCAAAAAAACTATGGTTGGTTGCTACAAATGCAATAATTTGTCATAAAAGTTGTACTTAATGACTACAATAGTGGTAGTTGATAAAAAATGTTGTAATTAAAAATTATAACAGTAGTTGTTGTCTACAAAATCGTAGTTAGTTACTACAAAGACAGAATATGATCATAAAGGTTATGGTCGATGTTTTTAATAGGAGCGGTTGGCGACAAACGTCGTAGTTAGAAACAATAATAGTAGTAGTTTGCCACAAAGATTGTAGTTTGCTGTTATAAAAACAATGTATGTCATAAAGACTTTAGTTGGTGGTTACAATAACAATAGTTGAACACAAAAATCATAGTTGGAAACATTAACAGTAGTAGTTGGCTGCAAAAATCATAATTGGTTGCTACAAAGGGAGTAGTGGTCATAAAGACTAAAGTTAGTGGTTGTAATAGCAGTAGTCGGCTTATTAAAGAAATACTCATTAATGTCATTATTGTTTGACTCAAACTTTTCTTGTATAAGTCTAGAAAAGTTATATTATATTAGATTTTTAGTGTGTTTTGTATCATAGATATCATCTAACCTGCGAGCTTTCTTAATTCTCTCCTACAAAAATGCTTGAATAATCAATTGTGAAAATATTGCACCCACATCACTATAATGAATAACAACTCCAACTTCTCCATCTCTTGAATTGGACTCTCATCAGATGTGACAAAACAAGTTGACACCCCAATAAATTTTCTTCTCAAAGCTTTGGCTACCACATTTGCCTTAGCGGGTTGATATATAACATTCAGATTATAATCTTGGATCAACTCCAACCACCTTCTCTATCTCAAGTTCAACTCCTTCTGAGTGAAGATGTACTTCAAGCTTAAATGATTT